TAAATATTTTAAAAAATACTAACTAGTTAATATTTTATTACTTGAAAAATATTTTAAGTTTTATATTATAAAGTAATTAATTTATTCTTTTGTTTTTATATTTTGTTAATTATTTTTATAAATATTTTATTTGAAATATTAAATAGAAATATTAATGGAATAATCTATATTAATATACTGTTTTATAATAATATAATATACTAATATATTATATTTTTAATGTACATTATTCGACATCTTGTCGACATAATAGGAAAAACTGTATTTTTTTTTGGTTATTTGGACCGATTTGGTCGACATTTCCGAAATATAGGAAATGTCGACCGACATAATGTAATTTTTATATTACCATCCATTTTCATGTCGGTGAGCCTCGACATCCACATATGTCGGGCGACATTAGCGACATTTGAAACCATGGGTCCAATAGAGGTCTTCGGAATTTCAGATTCCAAATCAATTGCTCCCCTCTCCACTCATTACACTGGCCTATTGAAACTTGTTGTTCTGTCAACTTGTATAATCTTGGGCAAACATCACAAAGTTTCCCTACCCTAAGCCACTCATCTTCCCAAAACATCACCCTAGAGACATCCCTTACTTTGAACTTGACCAAAATTCTAAACTCTTGATTGAAACTCATGATTCGTTTCCAACACTTACTCCATAAGAACTTCTTACTTCCCTTGATTCCCACCTAAACCTTTCCACTGCATATTTTTCAACCACCACCCTCCTCCATAAAGCCTCCCTTTCTCTCTCTCTTGCCTAAATCTCCACAATCATTTCCCTAGCAGTGCTTTGCTGAATAACTTTACCCATCTCAGCCCTAAACCTCTCCCCTCCTTTGACCTACACACCTTCTCCCACTTGACCATGTGAAATTTTTTGGATCCCCTACCCCTTCCCATAGAAAATCTCTTTGAATTTTCTCAAATTTCATAGCCACTTCTTTAGGGGGACACTTGGCAAAGAAAGATAGTAAGTTGGTAAACTGGACAGACTGCGTATAATACAAGATATAACCATACTCCCAAGTTTATGATATACGATCTCTACAAAATCAAATTATTTGGCTGGATCCCACTGGCATGTGTTAAAATGACCAAAATACCCCTACTATACAAAAATGTGGAAATGCATAAAAAACAGAAAAAATCATACATTGACTCTTTGTCTCCTGCATCACTTAAGCTTATGGGGAGTGGCTGTTGTGTGAAAGTCTTGTGATATTATTGGTTATGCTTCTTGGAAAGTTTTTTTAGATACCCTGTTTATCAAACATCAGAAATGCTATCTTGTTCTCACTCATTCTGAGGTTAGCTAATGACTTTGTGGCCGAATTGCTGAAGGAAGAGGATAGCACTCCATCATACTTTGCAGTTGCTGTTTGGACCATTTATGCATTTTTGTTTTTGTACCTGTTTTGGTATTCTACTAGGAAACTTTATCATTATTGATAAAGAGAAAACAAGATTACTGTTTGAAATTTTAGTTCTAGTTATGAAATAAGATTAGTCCTTGATAGAAAATAATACAATTTATTGATGTTCTACAATTGTAATTTGCAGCTTGCTAGTAGAGACATGGAAACTAATCAACTAAAGGCGGTATGCTATGTCTAAAATTTTCTTTTATTCTTACAAAATTTGGACGCGCTTTGTCTGCTTATTACCTTATTACTGGTTTCATTATTGCCTCTTAATAATGGTTCTTGCAAACTATGATATCCATACTCTACAAGGGTGCTGTATTGTGTTGGCTACTTTAAATTTGTGTAAAATTCTGTACCTGACACCATGTCCAGCTGTCTCCTTGCTGTATCTGGGTAACATAGCTTGCATTACGTCAAAATCTTCTTATTCATGGCATATTGATTTTTTTTGAAAAAAGTTAACCAATATTCATTAATAAAAAAAAAGAGGTACATGAGAAGATGTGCAAAGCAGGGGGAGAACCCCTACAAATTACAAAGTAGGAAGTTTGTTGCTATATAGTTGCTCTAAGAACACACCACATTTAGCTAAGCCATCTGCTATATGATTTTATTCCCTAGGAATCCAGACTAACTTTACATTTAGGCATTCCAAAGAGTCCCTGGCCTCTTTGGAATCTGTTGGAAACTCTACAGGCTCAAATCTTTGATCATAATCAGGATGACCAGTGGATTTGGACTTGGTCCAAGGATGGTGTTTTTTCAGTCAAAGCAATGGCTAATAGGCTTGGTAGCAGAGTGGCAGCGGAAGGTTTCCTGCAAAACAGATTTGGAATCATACCTGCCCTTCTAAAGTTAATTTTCTTATCTGGGCAATGGCTTTGGACAAATGTCTGTCCCGTACCAATCTTGAAAGAAGAGGGCTGCAGATTCAGGATAAGTCTTGTGTCCTTTGTGATGATCATCTGGAAACTATGGACCATTTATGCATTCATTGCCCGTTTTCTACTCAGGTGTGGCATCGTTTCTTGAAGACGGTGGGGATTTGTTGGGTCATGCCTAAATCAACTAAGGAGTTACTGTGCTGCTGAAAATCAGCAATTTGAAGAAAAGAGGGAAAGTGGTTTGGACCACTATTCCGGCAGCTGTGATTTGGGCCATTTGGTCTGAGAGAAACAACAGAATTTTTAATCAAAAAGTGAGAGGGGCAGAGGATATAGTTCAGCTGGCTGTTGGTAAACTGCTTTCTTGGATCTCAATCACTCCTGAATTCAGAAACTCAAATGTAACTCATCTATTGAGAACTGAGTCAATCTGGTGTTTGTAGTGGGAGTCCCTCAGACCTGTCCGTTTGTGGGCAGGTTTTGTTCTGTACTTTTATGAGTAAATTTTAATAAATTTACCTTACCTTTTCAAAAAAAAAAGAGTCCCTGGCCTCTTCTAAATAGTGACTTAATCTCCAAGGTTCCCTGTCTTTGTCTCTTAACCATTTTATGGCATTTGCTGAATCACCTGCAATGGTTATATTTTGAATTCCCAAACTTTTTATTATTCTGATTCCTATGAGGGCAGCCATTACTTCAGCCTTTGTGGAATCTGCCACGCCAATTGGACCGCTGAAAGTCCAACAGATGTTGCCCCTTTCATCCCTTAATGTTCCTCCAATACCAGCTAATCCGGGATTACCTAAAGCACTTCCATCAAAGTTTAAGATCATCACACCTTCACTGATGGGTTCAGGAAGTCTCATGGGTGGTTGATGGAGGTGAGGGAGAACTAAGAAAAGGTAAGCATCTCTATTGAGGTCATTGACTGAGACTCCTCTGAAAAGATCTGAATTCACCGTCCAGAGGTTGCACAGGTAAGAGATGTCTGAAATTAACTCCTCCAGGGGCCTTGATTTGTTGTCAAAAAGTCTTTTGTTTCTTTCATCCCAAACACTCCACAACACTGCGTGTAACACTGATTGTCAGTAAATTTTACCCCTCTTAAACCTGTTCCTTGCCACGGATGTAGAAAGTTCTTAACATGCTTTCCCAACTGTAACCTGCCATTTTCAAAAAATGGAACCATATCTTTTGGGTGAATTTGCAGTGAAGGAAAATGTGATCTGCTGATTCTCCTTCACTGAGGCATAAAAAACAAACATGAGGGGAGATGGACAGTCTACCCAAAAACATTTTTTGCAAGAGATCACAAGTGTTAACTTTCTGGAGGAAAGCTTCCCAGACAAAGAAACAAACTCTTGAGGGAATGTGTCTGCACCAGATCTTCTTAAAAGGAAAGGGGGGATGATGATCATCAGTACTCAAAGCCTTGAACATAGACTTAGAAGAGAATTCGCCAGTGGGGTGCAGGGTCCAGATTCGGGTGTTAGACTTGGAGGGGGAGATGTAAGCTTCTTTAAGGGTCTGAATTAATGCTATTAATTCAGCAATTTCCAAATCCCTTGGGGGTCTTCTGGGTTGAAGGTTTAGGGTGTTCTCAACAGTTTGGTCTGGAAGGCAAGCAGAAATAGTGGCTTATTGGTCAAGGGTAAGGGTAAAAAGTCTAGGGAAGGAGGCAGCAAGGGTAGATTCCCCCCCACCAAAGGTCTTTCAAGAATTTTATTTTTGAGGCATTTTCTGCTTTATATCTTTTGAAAGGAAAGAAGGAAGAATAGGTGGAGGTGATACCTTTCCATGGATTTGTGGATTTTATCCTGTTCAAATGGAGATTGCTATCCCACCCGTTTACATTTGATCCGTATTTGCTTGAGATGACAGCAGTCCAAAGAGCATTTGGTTCTTTAGGGAACCTCCACAGCCATTTACCTAAGATAGAAGAATTTTTCTCTTTTAAGTGCCCAATTCCCAAGCCACCTTCCTCTTTCGGCTTGCAAACTTGTTTCCAACTGACTAAGTGACTCCTCTTTTCCCCACCTCCTTCTTAAAGAAAGTTCCTTTGAAGCTTCTCAATCTGATTTTTGATTTTGGTTGGAATCCGGAAAGTTGAAAGGAAGTAGACGGGCATATTTGCTAAGAAGGCCTTCAAGAGAGTAAGTCTTCCCCCTTTTGAGAGATAGCACTTCTTCCAAGCTGAAAGTTTCTTCTCACATTTTTCCACCACTGGTCTCTAGAAATTGAGAGATTTTGGATTCCCTCCAAGAGGCACCCCTAGATGTGAGATAGGAAGGCTCTCCTCTTTACACTCCAACAAAGATTTGAAGCTCTCCAAGAGTTCCACTTCCACCGAGTTTAGAGCAACTATAGAGCTTTTGCAGAAGTTAACCCTCAAACCAGTGACAATTCCAAAGCATTCAATTAACCTTTTAGTGTTCGTGATGTTGGTTATGGAGGCATCCAAGAACAAAATTATGTCATCAGCAAATTGTAAATGTGAGATATGAATCTTGTTTCTTCCCACTTCGAAACCTTTCACCAAGTTAAGGAGCATTGCCTTATTGAAAAGGTAGCTAAAGATATCCATTACTAATGTGAACAGAAAGGGGGAGAGTGGGCAACCTTGTCTGAGACCTCTACTAGCCTTTCGCTTTACCATTTATCAACACTGAAAACCATGAGGAACCAATGCAACCCTTAATCTATCTGATCCATCTGCTACCAAAACCTCTCATCTTCAGGAAATCGAGGATACAGTCCCAATCCACTTTATCATACGCCTTTCCTAGATCTAATTTCACTAGGACCCCCGAATTCCCAGTGGATTTTCTGTCTTCCACACACTCGTTTGCAATTAGAATGCTGTCCACAATCTGCCTCCCTTTAACAAAGGCAAATTGATTTGGGGAAATGAGCTCTTCAAGGACTTCTTTAAGTTTATTGGCCAAGACTTTAGCCAAAATTTTATAGATGCTCCCTATCAAACTTATTGGCCTGAAGTCTTTTGCTTCCAAGACTCCCCCTTTCTTTGGAATGAGACAGAAAGGTTGAGTTAAGGCCTTTGTTAACAATAGACGAAGAGTGGAATTCCCTGAAAAATTCCATAAGATTTGACTTTACTATTTCCCAACACTGTTGGAAGAAAAAGATGGGAAAACCATCCGGTCCTAGAGTCCTATCTCCATCCATGCTGAAGATAGAATTTTTAACTTCTTCCTCTTCAATGCTTCTTTCCAACCAAACCCTTTTTTCAGCTGATAAAATTGTGCCTTCCCATCTATTCAATGTAAATTGGTTGTTACTATCCTTGGAGTAAAGGTTATTGAAAAAGGAGAGAAAGGCTTCCTTAATTTCCTCGGGATTCTCCTCTTCCCTCTGGCTCACTTTCAGCTTGGAGATGAAGTTTTTTCTACTCCTTCCCAAGGCATAGTGTGAAAAAATCTGGAGTTATTGTCTCCTTCTTTCAACCATTTCACTCTTGATCTTTGTCTCCAGTAAATTTCTTTTCTTCTGACCAGTTGTTCCCATTCCTTTTTCAAATATGCACTTCTACTTCTGTTTAGAGCATCTAGGGTCCCATTTTGTTCTCTGCTATCTAGCTCCTCTAACTCTGTAAGAACTTTTTTCTTCTCTTCTTCAACAGTTTTGAATACCTCTCTCCCCCAAACTTTCAGGTTTCTGTTTAGAGCTCTTAATTTCTGTAGGAGCCTAAAGCCAGCCCAACCCTCTACTTTGCGTTCTTCCCACCATTCTGCAACCTTTTTTATTGAAGTCTTAGTGACATAACCAAAATTTTTCCAGTCAAAAAGGGGTCTTTCTTCTGATGATTCTTTCAGTGTTTAGCAGAATAGGCCAGTGGTCTGAAGTACATCTGGGACGAAGTTCTTGTCATAGGTTGGCAAATCTTTTCAGCCACTCCTGAGAAAGCAGAAATCTATCAAGTCTGCAACTTATGACATTTTCTTGCATATTTGACCAGGTGAAGAGTCCATTAGTAAGGGGGAGGTCACACAAGTTATGCCTGGAGATAAATTTTGAGAAGTTCCTCATACTTCTTGTTGGGGCTCTACCATTGGAATGTTCTGAACTGAATCTTGTGATGTTGAAACATCCAGCTAAGCACCATGGGATATCCTCCTCCTTATGCAAGGAATCCAGTTCTTCCCAGAATCTCTCTCTCTCTCTCTCTGAGGGAGAGTTGGGGCCATATACTCCGGTAAGAATCCAGCTGAAATCATCTTTTAAATTTGTGGACAAGACCGAGACTGAGAACTCACCTTTGTTGATCTCCAAACCTGAGATTTCATCTTCCTTCCAAGCTAGGATGATTCCCCCACTGGAACCCACCGCTGGAACAGCAGTCCATTTTCTACCCCTTATTCCCCAAATTGCTTTCATAAGTTTCCTGTCAATAACTTCCTTTTTAGATTCCTGCAGAATAATTATATCTGAGTTTTCTCTTTTCAAAGTTTCTTTCACTAAGCTTCTTTTGATCTGCCCTCCCAAACCCCTGACATTCCAGCTTAATATCTTCATTTAGTCACTCTACCAGAATTCCCCTTGTTTGTCCTACTTCCGTCTGAGATGCGATCCAATAATCCCCACTGAAGTCTCTTTAGTTCTTTTTTGGGACCTTTTTTCTTACTTTTCTCCTGACTCTTTCCGGATTTGATCTTCTCTTTCTCAGGAGTTGTCTGTTTTCCATCTTCTTCAACTCTTCTTTTAATTCCCAATGCTTAAGCTATGTGGCTATGTTACCATTTCTCAAATTCACCTCCGTCTTCCTATCAATGCTTGATGAAGTAGCTGTCTGAGAATCTTTTTGCTTTGGGTGGGATGACAATACATTTGAACCTGAGAATGGAGAAGAAGATAAAATACAATGAGAGTTAGCAGAAGTGACGGGAGGTTGAAATTTAGACGCAGAAGAAAGAGGGGCGGAATGTCTCCCTGAATGCCAATTAGGAATTTGACGGGAGATGGGAGAAGGGGTTGGCGAATCTCTTCCTTGTCTATGAACAGGGGAGTCTGATCTGGGATTGCTCCATAATCTGCATCAACCAAGTGAGTATGTTGAAGTATCCCCACACTTCCCCAAAACTCTTTCCCAGCGAACAGGTTTTTTGCTCTTTCAAGAGCTAAATCTCGATGTTCTGGTTCTGCTTCTGTTGCATATGAGCTGAAGTCTTCCTCTGTGTCTTCTTCTTCACTAGCAGGAGGGGAATCTGATCTTACAGAAGGAGTTGGAGTCTTGAAAACGTTTCCTGAGTGTCGGCCCAAGCTGGGAGGAGTTTCAGGAATGGGCTGACTAGAGCACGGGGTTGCTGGTGGGCTTGAAGTGTTTGGGCCTAAAACTGGGCCTTGGGTTTGAGAGTATCCGCCCAAAATTTCAAACTGGTTAGAAGGTGGCTTATTTTTGAAAAGTCGGATTTTGGGGGGGTATTTTGAAATTTGAGAAACTTCTTTAAGGGGGGGGAGTTGTCCGCCTTTCTTGTTTCTTTTGGCTTCTTCGAGAGCTTTATGTTTTATGGGGAATGAAAGCCCCTGCACTGCTGCTTGGACTCCCACTGCCGACTTTTCATTTCCCCTACGACAACCTCTTGTCCGATTTGATTCCTGAGCATCGAAGGTAGACTTGCCATGTGGATAGGTGCCGTTAGGGCGAGTTAATTCGGAGTGAGAGGGAGGTGAATCGTTCGTCTTCTCCACCTCCACTGAGAGGTAAAACCACACTTTTCTGTCCAGAACGGGGATTGCTCGAGGAATGGCATGAATACCGTGATTCTTTACCTTGATTCTGGCAAAGTCTAACTCCGAGAGGTTTAGTGTCCTGGGGTCTATTTCTTCAAGGCCTCCACAAAGGTCTCCTATCAGGGAAAATGTTTCCTTCGTCCAGAGGTGGAAGGGTAAACCCCGCAGCTTTAGCCAGCCTCTGAAGCTCAACTGTTCTGGGACTGCATTTATCTTAACCCAGCCGCCGAAGACAAAGAAAGATTTAATCTTGGTCCAGGCTAAAATCAGTTCTTCCAAAGGGGCAAAACCCACTGCTTTGTTTTGTTCAAAGGGGCACAGCTTCAGTAAGGATTTTGAGTGAAGATTTTCAGACAGTCCTAGCTCAACTTCTTCCCAGTTCAACGAAGGTGATTTCGAGCAGACAAAGGCCAATTTCCAGTTACCAATGGGTTTATTTTGATGGACTATAGACAGGAACACAGAGGCTCCAGTCTTAATTATCCTACTTTTGGCTTCAAACGAGGGAAAGTGATCTTGCTTCAAATTTTCAGGACTGTGATTCACTCTGGGATTACAAACACAATCCAAGAACTTGATGAAGGAGTTCCAGCCTCCAGTAGCTGGTTCTTCTAGGATGCAAATAGATCTAGCCTTGTCTGATTTTTCCCATCTGCTGAGACGAATGAATCTCCCCCAGGTATTTTCTTTGAGCTGTAGGCATAGGATTCTTCCCTTGTTAACTCTTTTACGGTCTGCTAAATATTTTCACTTGTTTTCCAAAGCTTCTTAAATATAAGTTCTGGTCCAGAAGATGTCCTCTTGAGAAAGGACTGTTCGTGTCCAAATTCCCTTGCCCCTTTCCGTTAATGCAAAATCGTCTCCATGGTTGACACTTCGTCTGATTTCAAAGGACTTTGAACCAACTATCATAAATCTCCTTTCCATCTCCCAGGTTTCCTTTCCAACTCAAACTGATTCGTGTCTATTCATGTTTCTTCAACTGCCTTCAACTGCAACTGCAACTGCAACTAACACCCTCCCATTCCACTGTTCTTAGACAATGGTCATTTCTATATTCTCACATATTTCACAATGTTTCCAGACAGTATAAAGGAGATTCTTTTGGACACATGGTTGTGGTTTCTCCATAAATAGAGGCCGAAGAGGCAAGCATGTCAGGTTCTTCTTAGCCCAATTAGCAATGATTTGAACCATTGATTTTCTAACTAATATTGTTTAAGATGTTGGACTTTTACTTTTCTCTTCATCTAGCAACTCTCTCTCCATACCATTCCCTGCCCCCTCCAAAGGGAAAAAGAACTACTTCACTTCAAATTTTGAGCTTTTTTTTTCTTTATTTTGTCTTTGTAGGAGGTGGCTCGCTTGAAAAATGTGTCACTTGGACAGTCTCAAGAGGAACCATCTGAATTTATTGCAATGAGGGAAAGATATCAAGAAGAATGTATATATGGTAAAGTGAAACATAACTTCCTCTTTGTAATTCTTATTGTGAAAATTAATGAATTGTGTTATTGATAAAAAAATATATGGTAAAGTGAAACATAAAAAAGGCATTTAATCTCTCTTGCTTTCTATTGCTGGTTCCCTTGTTCCATATATTTTTTTTCACAGTGGGAATTACTTAATTTTATACTTGTAGTTTTGGGCTTCTGCTTGATGGAGAGAAACTGTTGTATGATTGCCTAATTGATAGCAGACCTATTTAGAAGCAGAGAGAATGAGAATAAACATTGAGTAGAAGAAATTTGAGATGTAGATTGCTGACCAAAAAAAGGAGATGCAGATTTAAAGATGAAAGATGAAATGTAGCTGGCTAAACTGTTTGTTCTTCTGCTAACTAAGAGGACTGGAGAACTGGAGATGTATGAGAGCAGTTATTGCCATCCCCTTTGTGATATCCTCAATAGAGTACACATCAACAATAGATACAGTTTTGGTCCAACATACCGCAGCAAAATGGTTTCCACCCCCAAGTAACTTTCTGCTGCCCAACACGTGTTTCTCTTGGGGAGCACATGTGTGTAAAAGAGGAGTGTGAGAGGGGTGGGAAACAGATTGGCTTTGGACAGGTTTTAAGTGATGAGCCCAGAAGTCACAAGTCTTTGGGGCCTGGGTCGAAGAGTGGGCCCAGTTACGAAGAAAGATTTGATCAGAATAATAGGTCTGCAGGGGTCGAACCAGGTTATGGCTTTAATTTTTGTGAGTTGAAGAGATCGGCTCTGAGGAGAGAGACAACAAAAGATGGGAGATGTGATGGCAACCAACGAGATATCCCATTGATGGGAGATGTCTGATAGAGAAGGAAGTTACAGAAGAGGCAACTGGTGATGTCGAAGGTTTTGTATGGAGAAGGATAAGATATTCTGTCAAGAAGAAGAATACTTGAGCAATCCTAGAGAAGATAGAAGGGGAGCAAGAAGGGTGGGCAGAAGAAAAGAAAGGTGTGCAGACGGAATCTGAGATTAGATTTGTTCAACAGGAAAAAGAGGAGGATGAGGAAGACCTTTTGGTCCCCAAGGAGGGCTAGAAAGAAGGTCTGGAAAGGATAGAGGGAGTGGATGGGGGACGGCTAGAAGCGGTTGTGGAAGAAAAGAACGAGGAAGAGGTCATTCTTACCTTGCCAGGAAGTAATGAAAGCAGAGCCACTGAAGACAGGGGGGGGGACAGAAAGGGAGATGAGGGAACCAGGACTGAAGGGGCAAAGGAAAAAGGAGTTTTGAAGAGAAGTGGGGGAATAGATGTGGAGAAGGGGACAGATGTGTGGAAGAGGAGGAAGGAGGAAAGAAGGATTGAGGGTGAGGGAGGTGAAGGTGAAGAAGAAACAGAACTTTCCCACTAAAGGAGAATGGAGAAGAGGGGATGGAAGGGGATTCAGGGGAGGAAAATGAGTCTGAACCGATGATTGGTGAGATGCATATGGTAGAAAAGTCTGTTAACATCAAGGAAGTGGTGAATAGGGGAGTGAAAGAAACCTTTAGATCTGTGGAGGAAACATTTGGGTTGAAAGGTCTGATAGATACAGTTGTTCATCCTAACTGCACTAATTCAACAAGGCAAGAGGCGGAAGTGAGTGCTGGAGGTTGCGGGGACTTCATAGAGGAGCCAGAAGAAGAGGTCGAGGGGGTGATGGGCGAAGACAGGGATCAGAAATTAGTGGGGAATTCTGAAACAGCAGTGGGAAGGCTAAATGCAGTTAGAAGAGTCAGAACTCAAAAGCACAAAAAATTACAACAACAGATCCCAGTCTCTAAGGTCTTCACGAGGTTAAAAGGTGGTCTTTTCATAATGGGACCTAACAAGGTTGTCAAAAAACCCAAAGGAACGGTCAAGAAATGACAACAAATTTGTACACAAAAAACTGAGAAAGATGTTTAAAGCTGCTTGTTGGGGTTTGGGTGTATAGCTTGGGCTTTTTTGGGCGTTGGGCTGGTTTTGATATTCTGGTTTTGTTTTGTCTCCTGTTTTGTATTGTATTGTTATGGGTAAGGGGCTTTTGTTAGAAGGGTCTTTTTAGCTTGTTTCTGGTTTTGGTTGATTTGGGTTTGTTTCTGTCTCATTGGGGTTGAGTTTGAGTTGGCCTTTCCTTTTGGGTGATTGCTTATCACCTTCCTCGTATCTCTCTTTTTGTTTTTCTTGACAGTGAGGCCGGCCAGAAATAAAAGAAGGAGAAGAGAAGAGAAGAAGAGGAGAGGAAGGAGAGAAGAGAAGAGATTGGCAATGGAACAGTGCTGGTGGCGCCAACTTTATTATATTATATAGGGCAGCAGAAATAAGTAGGGAAAAAATCTTTGTGCCCCTGCTGTAAGTGAGTACAATAACAGACATAACAGAAATAAAAAACGCCTTAACTAGCCAAACAGACCCTAACACAAATAACTAAATTATTTCAACACTCCCCCTCAAGTTGGAGCATAGATGTCAATCATGCCCAACTTGTCACACAAATCTTTGTGCCGCACATGATGAAGACTTTTGGTGAAGATATCTGCAAGTAGTTCTTCTGAGCTGACATATGGAGTACACACTTCTCCATTTACAAGTTTATCTCTAATAAAATGCTTGTCCACTTCAATGTGTTTCGTCCTATCGTGCAGGACTGGATTAGTAGCAATATTGATGGTAGTTTTATTGTCTCAGTAGAGTGACATAGGATTGCTCACTGCAAAACCCAGCTCACCTAACAGATTTCTTATCCCCATGATTTCAGCAACCCCATGACACATCTCTCTATATTCTGCTTCAGCACTAGATCTATCCACCACACTTTGTTTTTTACTTCTCCATGTGACCAGGTTTCCTCCTACGAAGGCGCAATACCCACTGGTAGACTTTCGGTCATCGACTGCTCCTGCCCAATCAACATCAGTATATACTTCCACCTTTAAGTGACCATGTTTCTAGAACAACAAACCAGCTCTGGGAAACTTCTTGAGGTATCTAAGGATCCTCTTTGCAGCTTCAAAGTGAGTTGTCGTAGGGTTGTGCATGAACTAACTAAGGACACCCACTGCATAAGCAATATCAGGCCTGGTCATAGACAAATACAAGAGTCTCCCTACGAGTTTCTGGAACTTCTTCACATCTTTCAAAAACTCTCCCTGACTGTCTCCCAGATGATGATTAGATTCAATTGG